GAGTAAGTGATATTTCGGAACAGTATCTAGTTCCTTCAATACCAATATGTTCTAGTAATATGAATTTTTTTTTTCTGTGTTGGTGTTGTGTACCCAGGTGAATAATATGTTTGCGCTGTTACTCTGAGTGCATATCCACACCGGGCGACCTTGAAAAATATGCCTGGCCACGGTAGGATTCGAACCTACGACCTTTGGAATACTAGCCCAATGCTCTTCCAACTGAGCTACGCGGTCAGGACGGTTCGAGTAAGTGATATTTCGGCACAGTATCTAGTTCCTTCAATACCAATATGTTCTAGTAATATGAATTTTTTTCTTCTCTGTGTTGGTGTTCTGTACTCAGGTGAATAATATGTTTGCTATGTTATCTGAGTGCATATCCACACCGGGAGAGCTTGAAAAACATGCCCGGCCACGGCACGACTCGAACCTACGACCTTTGGAATACTAGCCCAATGCTCTTCCAACTGAGCTATGCGGTCAGGACGGTTCAAGTAAGTGATATTTCGGAACAGTATCTAGTTCCTTCAATACCAATATGTTCTAGTAATATGAATTTTTTTTTTCTGTGTTGGTGTTGTGTACTCAGGTGAATAATATGTTCGCGCTGTTACTCTGAGTGCATATCCACACCGGGTGACCTTGAAAAATATGCCCGGCCACGGTAGGATTCGAACCTACGACCTTTGGAATACTAGCCCAATGCTCTTCCAACTGAGCTACGCGGTCAGGACGGTTCGAGTAAGTGATATTTCGGCACAGTATCTAGTTCCTTCAATACCAATATGTTCTAGTAATATGAATTTTTTTCTTCTGTGTTGGTGTTGTGTACTCAGGTGAATAATATGTTTGCGCTGTTACTCTGAGTGCATATCCACACCGGGCGACCTTGAAAAATATGCCCGGCCACGGTAGGATTCGAACCTACGACCTTCGGAATACTAGCCCAATGCTCTTCCAACTGAGCTACGCAGTCAGGACGGTTCGAGTAAGTGATATTTCGGAACAGTATCTGGTTCCTTCAATACCAATATCTTCTAGTAATATGAATTTTTTTTTTCTCTGTGTTGGTGTTGTGTACTCAGGTGAATAATATGTTTGCCATGTTACTCTGAGTGCATATCCCCACCGGGCGAGCTTGAAAATATGCCCGGCCACGGTGGGATTCGAACCTACGATCTTTGGAATACTAGCCCAATGCTCTTCCAACTGAGCTATGCGGTCAGGACGGTTCGAGTAAGTGATATTTCGGAACAGTATCTAGTTCCTTCAATACCAATGTGTTCTAGCAATATGAATTTTTTTCTGTGTTGGTGTTGTGTACTCAGGTGAATAATATGTTTGCGATGTTACTCTGAGTGCATATCCACACCGGGCGAGCTTGAAAAATATGCCCGGCCACGGTGGGATTCGAACCTACGACCTTTGGAATACTAGCCCAATGTTCTTCCAACTGAGCTACGCGGTCAGGACGGTTCGAGTAAGTGATATTTCGGAACAGTATCTAGTTCCTTCAATACCAATATGTTCTAGTAATATGAATTTTTTTTTTCTCTGTGTTGGTGTTCTGTACTCAGGTGAATAATATGTTTGCGATGTTACTCTGAGTGCATATCCACACCGCGCGAGCTTGAAAAATATGCCCGGCCACGGTGGGATTCGAACCTACGACCTTTGGAATACTAGCCCAATGCTCTTCCAACTGAGCTACGCGGTCAGGACGGTTCGAGTAAGTGATATTTCGGCACAGTATCTGGTTCCTTCAATACCAATATGTTCTAGTAATATGAATTTTTTTTTTCTCTGTGTTGGTGTTCTGTACTCAGGTGAATAATATGTTTGCCATGTTATCTGAGTGCATATCCACACCGGGAGAGCTTGAAAAACATGCCCGGCCACGGCCCGACTCGAACCTACGACCTTTGGAATACTAGCCCAATGCTCTTCCAACTGAGCTATGCGGTCAGGACGGTTCGAGTAAGTGATATTTCGGAACAGTATCTAGTTCCTTCAATACCAATATGTTCTAGTAATATGAATTTTTTTTTTCTGTATTGGTGTTGTGTACTCAGGTGAATAATATGTTTGCGCTGTTACTCTGAGTGCATATCCACACCGGGCGACCTTGAAAATATGCCCGGCCACGGTGGGATTCGAACCTACGACCTTTGGAATACTAGCCCAATGCTCTTCCAACTGAGCTACGCGGTCAGAACGGTTCGAGTAAGTGATATTTCGGAACAGAATCTAGTTCCTTCGATACCAATGTATTCTAGTAATATTAATTTTTTTCTGTGTTGGTGTAGTGTACTCAGGTGAATATGATATTTGTGGTGTTACTCTGAGTGTATATCCACACCGGGCGAGCTTGAAAAATATGCCCGGCCACGGTGGGATTCGAACCTACGACCTTTGGAATACTAGCCCAATGCTCTTCCAACTGAGCTACGCGGTCAGGACAGTTCGAGTAAGTGATATTTCGGAACAGTATCTAGTTCCTTCAATACCAATATGTTCTACTAATATGAATTTTTTTTTCCTGTGTTGGTGTTGTCTACTCAGGTGAATAATATGTTTGCGATGTTACTCTGGGTGCATATCCACACCGGGCGAGCTTGAAAAATATGCCCGGCCACGGTGGGATTCGAACCTACGACCTTTGGAATACTAGCCCAATGCTCTTCCAACTGAGCTACGCGGTCAGGACGGTTCGAGTAAGTGATATTTCGGAACAGAATCTAGTTCCTTCAATACCAATGTATTCTAGTAATATGAATTTTTTCTGTGTTGGTGTTGTGTACTCAGGTGAATATGATATTTGTGGTGTTACTCTGAGTGCATATCGCCCGGCATCACTGACAGTCCGGCAACTGCCAACTATATCATATAGCATGGCGTTTTAAAAGAACCGCGATGCTTTGCACGCTATTTCATGGGTGAATAAATGTACTTTTGCCCGCCAAAAAACATATAGTACACAAAACTGTATATAACAATAACGTTATGCATGTATGTGTGCATCATACCTAATTTCAGTGTGCAGTGATAACCAATTTGTGCAGTGATAAAAGTAAAATGTGCAGTGATGAAATTTGCGGTGATAAGTTGTTAATGAACAATTAACACGAAAATCAGGCAATGAGCAGAAGAACTGACTGCTAAAAAGTCGTCTTGACACTTGACAGCAGACTCGTCCCTGTAGTATACTGAGACTTGTTTTAGTATAAGAATATAAGCAAAACAAACAACGTGGTCGAGTTACAACACACTTCTTATATTCCCATACAGCATTATGGGATATGCATAAATTATGCTAATATGAACCTTAATATATATTACCTCGGTGGCTATTTCTCCATTGTCATCTGCGACAGTCTGTTCTCCAGATTCTGAAATACTTACCTCTGATTCGTCATCATCATCTTTTAAATCATTGCTACCATTCTCTCTACCATCATGTGCCTTGATCATATGATCTGGATGCACACGTCTCATTCTCTTTCCACATTTTACTACATATGTCCGCGGCCCACAACTCTTAACTACTGTACCTAAAATCCATTTGTTAGTTTTGTTCGTTGCTCTAGTGTTTAACACGCGAACTCTTTCCTCTTTCTCAAATGTTCTCTCACTCTTTCCTTTCCCATCTTTATACACTTTCTGCTGTTCTTACTTTCCCTCTACGACCTGTGCTAGATCAGGTTTAACCAAACTCAACCTTGTTCTCAAACGGCGCTTCATCATCAACTCTCCTGGCGACACACCTGTGGTGCTGTGAGGAGTGGTTCGATACCTAAGGAGAAAATTTGCCAGTCTATGTTTCATAGACACGCCTTGGGTGCCTTGAATAACTTGTTTGGCTAAAGCTTCTTTAACCACTCTCACGGACCTTTCCGCTGCCCCATTTGATTGCGGATGATATGGGGGGACTAATGTGTGCTTGATTCCATTTTTAGTCATGAACTCGACAAACTCAGTTGCAGTAAATTGAGGTCCATTGTCGGACACTACCTCCTCTGGCAAACCATAAACAGCAAAGATCAATCGAAGCTCATCAAGAGTACGTTGGGTAGTAGTAGAGGTCATATGTTTTACTTCAATCCACTTTGAGTGGCTGTCAATTACCACAAGAAAATAATCCTTACCTTCTTGACAGAAATCAATATGAACACGTTGAAATGGTCTGGTCGGCCATTTCCATGGTATCAGTGGTGCATGAGGAGGGGTGTTTCTTACCGACTGACACACTGTGCAAGCTTTCACAGCCCTCTCAATATCCTCATCCATCTTGGGCCACCAAACACAGGTGCGAGCAATTGCTTTCATTCCGCATACACCTGGATGTTCCCAATGTAATTCATTGAGCATTTTCTCTCTAAAAACTGGTGGAATAACCACTCTGGAGCCCCACAGAACACAATGTTGTTCGCAGGATAATTCCAGCTTTCGGTTATGATATGGTTTCAGATTTTCATCCTGACAATTCTCAGGCCAACCTGACATGACATAATAATATACTTTACAGAGAACAGAATCAACTTTAGTTGCCTTCCAATATCTTTTGCAGTAATTGGGAAATCATCATCGATTGCACTTACCTGGTAGATTGCACTCTCACTACCTATAGTTGAGTTTTGATGTGGCAACCTAGAGAGTGCATCACAATTAGCATGTTTTTCAGATGATTTGTATTCTATCACATAATCATAGGTAGATAGTACCAATGCCCACCTTTGCATCCTTGCAGCAGCAAGTGTGGGAATTGCAGACCTAGGTCCCAAAATTGCCAATAGTGGTTTGTGATCTGTGATCAATGTAAAATTTCGACCATACAGAAACTGGTGAAATTTTTTTACCCCGAACACTATCGACAATGCCTCACGCTCAATTTGGGCATAATTTTTCTCAGTTTGACTAAGTGTGCGAGATGCGTGAGCAATTGGTCTTTCGTGACCATCGTCCATCACATGACTCAGAACGGCACCAAGTCCGTAACTTGATGCATCACAAGCAAGTCTTAATTTCCTATTTAAATCGTAGTGTACTAACAGGGTATCACTAGTAAGACTTTGTTTACAAACATCATGAGCTTTTTGACATTCGGACGTCCACTTCCACTGGACATCTTTTTTAAAAAGCTTATGCAAAGGTGCTAAGGTTGTTGCCAAATTGGGAAGAAATGAATGATAATATTGTACCATACCCAAGAAAGATCTTAGTTCACTGACGTTAGATGGCACAGGGGCCTTCCTAACGGCATCCACTTTCTCCTCTACCGGGTGCAAGCCCTTTTCATATATTTTAAGACCTAGGTACACAACTTCTGGTCTTAAGAACTCACATTTTGGCTGTTTTAATATCTTCAGATTCTCTCTCCAGTCATTCCCACCAATAAGAATGTCATCCTGCTTACACACACATTTCTTTATCCCTTGGAGAATCTGATCCATTTTAGACTGATCATGAAATATCTTAGGTGCAGATTTAACCCCATAAGGTAACTTAGTGTAGCTATACAACCCTTTATGTGTGTTTATTGTAAGATACTCTTGACTCTCTTTATCAACATTTAGCTGAGCATATGCATGAGATAAATCGAGTTTACTAAAAACTTTAGACCCTGTTAGCATAGTGTACAAAACCTGTGTAGTGGGAAGAGGATACTGCTCGTCTTGCACCGACTGGTTTATTGTTACCTTATAGTCTCCACACAACCTTATAGACTTATCGGCCTTTGGTACAACTACTACTGGACTTGCCCACTTTGTCCTCTCAGTTTTTTTTATCACACCATTTCTCTCAAGTTTTTCTAACTCCGCTTCTACAGCCTCTTTCAGTGCATAAGGAACTTTACGTGGCTTAACAAACACTGGCCTTGCCCCGTCTTTCATAGTGATATGTGCTTCAAACCCTTTCATTCCTTCATAGCTGTCTTCAAACATGTTTTTGTACTTTGACAGTAACACATTAAGTTGGTCTCTAGCATTACTTTGCTCTGACGTTTTTATGCTAAAAACCCTGCCCCAATCTAACTTCATCTGGGCAAGCCAATTTTTACCTAGTAGAGTGGGTTTCCCTACATAGTTAGCTATCACAATTGGCAACCTAAAAGTCTTATTTTGGTACACAATCTCACATTTCATCTCACCACTTACCTGAAGTATCTCGCCGGTGTAGGTCTTCAATTTTACAGCTGACGGATAAAGTGGAAAATGACTAAACTTCTGATCATACATGCTTTTACTCATTATCGAGAAATCAGCAGCGGTGTCAATCTCCATGTCGCACACCACCCCATTAAGAGATAGTTCTACATTATATCTCTTATGAGACTGGCAATAGTTCTCTGACTCTACTGAATATAAAGAATAAATACCTAATTCATCACTATTGACATTATCGTTATGACTATCGTACAATGATAAATTTTGAATGTTACCTCTATCTGCTTGTCCGTGTTTGGATGTTGAACCAGGCTTAACCTCTTTACTGGTTTTACTACGACACACTGACGCTATATGACCTATTTTTGTACATTTAAAGCATTTTGCTGTTTTAAATCTACAAGTTTTTGCAGTATGATTTCCACCACACCTGTAGCATGCTTGCTCGTCATTTCTCTTGCTTTCTATTTGGTTCACCGTCCCTTCACTAGAAGCACTGGCACTAGTAGTTGGATGAAACTCTTGCGTGTTCCTTTCAGCCATCTCCATAGACTTCGCAATCTGACAGGCTTTGTCGAATGTGATATTTTCGGTGGTCAACAGTTTGTTCTGTATCTTGACGTTGTTTAGCCCACATACAAAGCGATCTCGTAATGCTCGATTTAAAAATTCCCCAAAATTACAATGAATGGAAAGTTTTTTTAATGCCACTACATATTCACCAATTGACCCACAGGGTTTTTGACTACGTGTTCCAAAATGAAAACTTTCAGCGATCTCCAACGGTGCTAGGTTAAAATGCTATGTTAGCCAAAGACGTGTCTTTTGGCTTCGCTGGCACCAACAAATTACTTAATGTGGAATATACATCCGCTCCAATCTCAGTTAGAAAAATGGCACGTTTCCTGTCTTTGACAAGTTGATTAGCCCCTTCATTTTCTTCACCTGGTGTCTCTGCAATGTTGTTTGCCGTAAAAAACATTTCCATTCTTTCCACATAGGATTTAAATGTCTCTCGTTCGGAATTGAACTCACCAACATGGCCGAACAGTCCTCCGGCTGTTGCCAGTTCGATGTTCAGTTATCAGATTTAATAAATTTCTTACTTCCAAACTTTTCCCACTACTGCGAGGGTATCTCACGCAACTTTGAGCATGTAGAATATATCCGATCCTCGTCGCCAAATGTAGTATACTGAGACTTGTTTTAGTATAAGAATATAAGCAAAACAAACAACGTGGTCGAGTTACAACACACTTCTTTTATTCCCATACAGCATTATGGGATATGCATAAATTATGCTAATATGAACCTTAATATATTACAGTCCCCAGTCGTTATTTGAATTTCAATTTTATATAAGGGACGAATAGGTATATATCCATATATATATATATATATATATATATATATATATATATATATATATATATATATATATATATATATATATATATATAGATCAGTACCAAATGTGGACGCGCGCAAGGGGAAAAGGGAAGGTGAGGGAAAAAATAACGACTGGCAGATTACAGAGACAAAATGGCGGACAATTTGACAACAAAAAGAGGAAAGACTATTTTAATATACACCACCGAGCGTTTTTAGCTGATAAACTCCCTTGTCCGCATGAGGAATGTCAGTATAATTTATCTTGCTATGATCAAGATGGTTTAGACCACCATTACAGGCAATCCATAAATGTCCTGTAACCTGTTATTTCAGACTTTCAGCAGTTCAGCTGATTAGTGATATTAAAATTTATAAGGCGAAAAGTCTTATTGTGCCAGAGAACTGAGAGAAGCACTCAAAGGAAACACTGTCATGTTTGGAAAAGCTATCGATTAACAACCAATCGAAGGTATTCGTAAATCTTGAGTGTTGAATGCCTTTAATTGGAGCCAGCGAGCAATATAAAAACAGGTAGGTATTTTATTCAATTTTATTTATGCGTTTATATCTTTATATTTCACGATGAAATGCACTCTTAAACTCTTTGGATTATAAAGAAGACAGCTTTTTGCTGGGGTTTTTTTTGCAACCTGTGTATTTCACAATTTGGTTGCTGAAACTACAAATTTTTGTTATTTATAAATTACTTTATAAAGTGCTATTAACTCCAGGTTTTGTGCAATATGATTATGTGCCAACTTAAAACTTTGCATACAAGGCTATTAAATCAATGATAAGACTCTTGGAGCATTCAAATATTTCCCAAAATACCTGTAAATAACAAAATATGCCCCCCCCCGTAACTAAATGTCGCTGTATGATGAAAAGACGTTACATTGGTCATTAACAACCCATTGTTGGGGGGCATAGGGTTGTAGGGATAATATAGAAGCTAAGGTGGCACATAACCCCTATCATAGCCTTAATTAAACAATTTGAAAAACCAGAAATACTGTATCAATGCACTGGGGCCAATCTGGCAATTACTTCTAACTATGTTCTGACAATCCTTGCACTCATAGTCCTTGAAATGATAAGGTAATTTCTACCTTGTATCATGGCCAACGTTTAGGGCCACTTTCAGTGCCTTAGCAAGCTCGATAATTGGGGGAGGCTCATATTCATATATATTCGTGTTCTGCGTTATTAATTTCTTTTGAAATTGATTGTTTTTATGGACTGTGAATATGAATATATGAATATGAGCCCCCCCCCCCAATTATCGAACTTGCTACGGCACTGACTTTTGATTGTTATACCATTAAGTCTGATAATTGCACCACCAATGGTTCTGGTATCTCTTGTTTTTCCCATCATCATTTCTGTACTCAACTTTACAACATATAATATATTCTTGTTTATTCCAGAATTATCTTACAATTGGAACACCATTTATCACACAATTGGAAATTTGTCCCGACTCACCCTGGTTTCCCAATTAAGCCCTAGAGTGACAGCACTCTCCCCTGATGAGTAAATTGTCTGGTGTTAGACAGAGTAAAATAATAATGTAGGGCATATCAGGGTGCATTGCCACTTAAAGGGTTAATCTTGATCTGGGTGGCAAAATACTGCAGTACCAAGCAAGATGTATGGAAATTGAAGACACAAAAGCTGGATTAATTTTGAACCATTTTAATTGGACTTCTTCAATGGAATTATTAACAGTGAATAATTTTAAATTAATTTAAAACTAAAATGTATTATAATTACAGTTAGTGTACATGATGTAGTGGAGCATGTCTATTATATTAACTTAATAAAGCTTTATACTTTCATATGTTATCTGCATGGTGGGGGGTGGGTGGTTGTGCAGAAAAATTCAGGGGTGGAAGGTGAGTGAGGGGCACGTAGCCACAGAATAAGGCACACAGAAGGTTGACTTGAGTGACCGTTGCCACGCCATGATTCATCAAAATGCTGATGCCATGGTCCTAGCCAGTGCGCGTTTAAGAGGGATTCCCCCCTGGACGTTCACCATTTTGAATAATATCAGGGGAGTGAATGCCTCTCAAACGCGCACTGGCTAGGACCATGACGTCAGCATTTGATTACGGGTTACGCCAAAATCATAGGAAAACCCAAGAAGTCGACCTTCTGTGTACCTTATTCTGTGACGTAGCATCCTGAGGAAGATTAACCAAAACACAATATACCAGACAAATATAAAAATATTATGTCATTTGTAATACAATGTAATGAATTGGATTGATCATGTATTGCATATGCACATCAGCCTTTACACATGTAAAAAGAATATATTTGTTTATGTTCGCACAACACCCTTTTCTTTTCACAGTTAGGAAATATGGCTGCCAAAGCTCTTGAAAGGTGGCTTTTTACACTAAGATCATCAGTAACAACATCCTCTTGTTTAAGTCTCAACCCATCTGTTTTGATGCATATATTCTTTAAAGAGCCCTGAAGATCTCCAGGAACAAATGTGCTAACATCACCTGCACATTCAAACATTGGACTTTTGAAGTGACTTATTAAAAATACAAGTTCCAATCTTGAACAACTTTCCTGCATTTAGTTCTTGGTAATCCCGGACTCTTAGAATCTGGTGTTAGGTCGTGTTTGACGTCAAATGGCAGTAACTTTCTCGCTTTAGGAGTTCTAGGAGTGCTGGTCTTAGGACATTCATCTGAATTTATGGAATTGAAGTCTATAGTTCAGAACGACAAAAATTACAACTTGAAACAAGGCAACATGGCGCTAATCAGCCGAGCGTATAATGAATTCCAGTTTCTTAATTTCTTTAGTATACGCAAATTTATGCTACGGCTCAAAGGGTCAACAAATTCAAGACATTCAAGTGGTAGAATGTATTATATTATCTTTTAGACTCACCATCTAAGTTCATCAGAGTCCGCCATTTTGAAGTACTCCAGACTTGACCAATTGAAGGCCGATATACTTGATAAAAATACGCACTTTGCAGAGACTACATCATAAAATGATCGATTTATGTATACCAATGTCAAAAAATCCAAACTTGAAGCTTAAAATATTAGTTTGCAAGAAAAACACTTTCTTGCAAGAAAAATCACAGTAATCTGCCAGTCGCTAAATTTTCTTCTTTCGCCCTTGCCGTGAGCCTCTACGCGCCCACTTCTGGCCGCGCGCCCGCTCTTAAAGCGACTGGGGACGAGTCTGTTGCTCTCGTGTGCGGCGGGCTTTAGGAAGCGATTATTGTCAGAATTTGTTATTATAGCAGTATGCCAAGATTTTAATGTTTTACG